TTCAGCTGTCAATTTCTCTTGGGGGTCAGACTAGGATCACTCCCCAGAAGTTCCGTAGCGATATCACGATAACTGAAGAAATGAGAGGCAAACATACTTCCATGGCGTGATGGCGATTTTCGCCATGCTCCCAAAGCCCCGCCTTTTTTTGAAACCTGCCAGTACTGGACACCAAGTGACCTCAAGTTGTCTACTGCTATTTAACAGAGATTCCTGCTGATTGGGTAAAAGGAGTCCAGTAGGGAGCTGTGAAAAAAAGAGTGGCGTGGCGCCAGGTCAAAGTTTGAGGCTTAGCCACGCCCACACCTTTCAACTTTTGAAAAATCCGACAGTTGAATTTTTTCCCCTATTTCTTAAGAGTATATAGCAGAAGTTTGAAGGCGATTGGTGAAAAGGGCGATGGAGCATCACTCTCCAAACAACCTGTGCGAAAACCACTAAATCGCGTACTTGGACCAAAATGGCCGACTTCCTGTGCGAATTTGCGCTTGGCTCCAAGAGACTTTTTTGTAGGTCCTGAGACATCACATTAGTGTACCAAATTTCGTAATCCTCACTCAAAGCATGGATTGGGGCTGACAGTTTTAATGTTCCTAGGGGGCGCTATTTCAGAAAATAGGCCACGCCCACCGGATGTTCACATCAGATCTTTTGGGGGGCCGGACTAGGATCACTCACAAGAAGTTTCGTGACGATATCTTTAGAAATGACGAAATGGGAGGCAAACGTAAGGCCACGGCGGTACGCCTGACTTCGCCGCGCCGCCACAGCCCCGCCCTCTGCCGAAAACTCCCATAAAGTGACGCCACGCAACCCCCACTTGTCTTGAGTTACCAGCTAAATATTTGTGGTGATTAAGTGAAATGGGGCAATTTGGGACCTTTCACAGTAAAACTTGACCTTTTTGGTCCTGAGGGGGCGGGGCTTGTATGATGTCATCATCCGACCACTCAATTTACTTTGTGGGTAGGTGACGAATGACCACAGAAAGTTTGGTAACTCTATTCCATTCAATTATGAAGTTATAGCAATTTAAATTTTTTTGGCGAGTAGTCAAACTTCGAGGCCTGGCCCCGCCCCTTCAGCATATACGAAAAGTCAGAATCTTTGTCTCATTTTTTTCGCCCATCCCTTCTGAGCAATTTTACACAATTTTTGAGACGATCGTGCGAAAAGTGATCGAGCAATCCAATCAGAAACGGACCCTAAAAACGGCAAAAACGGCTAAAAATCGCCATTTCAACCCAAAATGGCTGACTTCCTGTTTGATATTGACCATGCTTGCAAGAGACTTTTCTGTGCGGACTGTTGAGTCCTACAAGTGTACCAAATTTCATAACTGTACGATAAACTAAGCTTTATGGAGAGGTTTTTTTTTCACATTCTAGGGGGCGCTGTTCAGCCATTTTCTTTGCGATTTTTTTGGAACCTTTAAAATATCAAATTTTTCACGAGGCCTGACAAGTTTGCAAAATATTGTGAGTTTTGGGGTATGTTAAGGTCCCCAAAAAGCCGTTCAAAGGGGGCACGGAATAACAAAAAAAGAATAATCAGAGCAAAAACAAGAGGCCTTCGCAGCGCTTTCGCTGCTCGGGCCTAATTAAATGTTTAATAAATATAGATCATTTATTAGGATGTCAGTTTACAGTTATTATTTCAAAGTGAGATTATTTTAAATTTTACAAATATGTCAGAATACTTCACAGAAGTCCTTAATTTAACTAAAGAACAGAAATAAAATGTTTTCATCAGAGTTCTGTACTTGTCATAATGTGAAAATTACCCCTCCCCCTCCCCCCCAAAAATAAACAAACTAACAAACAAATAAATAAAATGTTCTATTATTCCATAACATTTCACAACAGAATCAGTTATAAATGCATCTTTTCAGGCTCATTTTGCAGCTCTAATTTCAATGAGTGGAGGAAAAGATGCTTGTCATGATTGTTGTGGTTGAAGGTATAGAATATAATGCATCACCGTTTACAGATAAAAGTCACAAAACCTTTTAAAATGAATAGTATGACAGAAACAACCCGGTAAATAAAGTACATAATACCAAAATATACTGAGTAAGTCTTCAGCTTATTGTTGACTGAATACAAACATCAACAGGTCTGTGTCACAGAAATACATGTATTTCATAATCAGCTTACGTAAAACCAGTCTGTCTCTGAACTTGCTGAACGGCAGTAAAGCAGAAGCTGTTTTATGCTGTTGCATGTCACGCTGACTGGCCTGCTCTGTTAGATGATGGCGGCACAAGGAGATTGTTTATGCGTGGATTGATAACATTATTATTGAGTCATATCAAAATCACACAGTTTTTTTTTTTTACTGTTGATCATCCCTAACTTCCAATACAAGTAAAAAAACAGGACGTTCATTCGTAGTTAGTTAGCTTCAACCCCAAACATTTAAGTGTTTGTGCTCAAGGATGTGCTCCGCTACAGAAAATCATTTATTATGTTCTAGTAAACAGATGTGGTTTATGGACAATAACATACGGTACACGCCTGACTCACAGCGGAGGAAGACACGCCCATCCTCCTCCTCTGTTAGTCCCACACATAGATATGTATATAAACACTAGATGTCTCGTCCCCGCTGTTCGCCAATGGGATGCGACGTAGGAGTTGGAGGTGATAAAAGCATCTAAACATTTGTTCGTCGACCTTCATTAAACAACAGAAGAAGAATTATTACTACGTGTGTGGGACCATAGATATGTATATAAACACTAGATGGCGAAAGCGGGAGTCGAGGGCGTAGCTAAACGGCGGCCTTCTTACCTCAGACAGCTGCCCCCTTTCTTGACGTTGGGGTGTATGGTGCATGTAATATTTAAACAACTCTTAACTTCTCAATTTTCAACCGATTTTCAAAAGGTTTGATTTGTTATAAACACCAGAGATGTGTCTATGAAATAGGATGGGTTTGGCCCATAAAATCCTGTTATTTCACTCCACAAAGCATTTAATCTTTCATAGATAACACATTTAATGTAAGCTACAGTAACTTAAAGTACCGGTATACATAACCTATTACTATATTATATAGATCGATCGATCTATCTATCTATCTATCTATCTATCTATCTATCTATCTATCTATCTATCTATCTATCTATCTATCTATCTATCCATCCATCCATCCATCCATCCATCCATCCATCCATCCATCCATCCATCCATCCATCCATCCATCCATCCATCCATCCATCCATCCATCCATCCATCCATCCATCCATCCATCCATCCATCCATCCATCCATCCATCCATCCATCCATCCATCCATCCATCCATCCATCCATCCCACTGAGGTAGTCAACTTTGTTTTGCTAAGCAGTGCACCCACCGTAGCCTCGTCATCCATCCATTGTCTGAACCCGCTTGTCCATGTAGGGTCGCGGGGGTGGTGGGGGTCTGGTGCCTTTCTGCAGCAGTCAACGGGCAATCAGGCGGGGTACACCCTGGACAAAGTGCCAGTCCATCGCAGGGCAACACAGAGACACACAGGACAAACAGTCATGCATGCACACACCTGAGGACAATTTGGACAGACCAATCAACCTAACAGTCATGTTTTTGGACTGTGGGAGGAAGCTGGAGTACCCGGAGAGAACCCACGCATGCACAGGGAGAACATGCAAACTCCATGCAGAAAGATCCTAGGCTGGGAAGCGAACCCAGGACCTTCTTGCTGCAAGGCATCAGCTCTAACCACTGCGCCACTGCGCAGCCTAGCCTCGTCATCTCCAAGACAAATTAGACAGCCAATAAATACAAAAACATCCACAAACACAGTTATTTAGACATCCGGGCTGTCGTAAAGTCGTTAATGGTTTTGTAGAACCACGTAAAATATCGATTGTGGTCTCAACCTGAATAACATGTAGATAGGCGGGACACATGGTTCACAGTTAAGTCACTTTCAAAAGCAAAAGCATTACTTTCAACATGTGCAAGTATGTTGTCTCAAGCCCATGTGTTCTAAGGGTCGTAACAAGGCAAACCGCTTGTAAATCCGTTAATATTTCATCGAGTTAAGGGTGTTTTTGTTTAAGCTGATGACTGACCTTTCAGCTGCTAGCATTGAGAGCGGAAGGGTCTGTTGTCTGAGGTAAGATGGCCGCCGTTTAGCTACGCCCTCGACTCCCGCTTTCGCCATCTAGTGTTTATATACATATCTATGGTCCCACACACGTAGTAATAATTCTTCTTCTGTTGTTTAATGAAGGTCGACGAACAAATGTTTAGATGCTTTTATCACCTCCAACTGTAGAAGTCTGTCCGCCCCAGCATGCAAGCACCTGCACGCTCCCCGCCTCCTTACCTGGTGTCGGTGTATTTTGATGGCAGCGTCACAGCGCCACATACAGGTCTGGCATGGTTACTACAGCATTTTGGGGAGTTTTTCTCTTCACAAGTGGATAAAGATATTTTCAGAAGAGGTGCTGTGTTTATAAGAATGCCTTAAAGGAAGGTCATTTTGGAGAAATGTAATGTGGACAAGGCCCAAGGAAAGGACACAGTCCCTGCTGTTTGCTTCTTTAAATAAAATAAAAAACATCAGAACAACAAAACAAAAGTTTTTATTATCTACAGTTTTAATTATCACAGATTTAGGGACAAGAAAACACATAAAAAGGGTTTTAAATGATAAAACATGAATATCTCTTAAAGAGCAACAAGTGTTCTCTGACATGACTGATGTCAGAGGCCTTCACTAATGCAGAATACAGAAGGATTTAGTTTAAACTCAGACTTTTATTGTGTGTTAAGCCAGTAGAAACAGCTGTTGGTGTGTTTACTCTAGAAATGTCTAAGTGTGGCCAGTGGTGTGAAACTTCCAACACATTCAGATTACAGCGAGTTAAGCCCTGACCTTGAAGAAAGCCTAAAATAATAAAAAGGGACTTGTAGACTGTGAAGTTCAACCGTCACCATCATCATCCGCTGCTGTCTGACCCTGCTCTTTGTTCCTTTCTCCTGTTCAGACTGAGGCGAGCAGAGAGAGGAGCGAGCTGGCCCGCTGATGATCATGACTGGTTAAATTAGGCAAAGGCTCAGAGTGACAGAAAGGCCAAGAGGAAAGAAGAGACAACATACACTGCTGCTGCTCATCTCCACAGCAACAGAGCTCTGGAGGGAGACCTTGACGAGCTGGATCACTGGCTTTAAAGGAAGGGAGAGCAGTTGGATGCAGCGAGACCAGTGAAAAAAACTTTGTTTCTTTAACTGACTTCCCCCAGAAACGCTGATGTTCGGGGTTTTTAGTACTTCTGTCATCTGAGTCAGAAGCATATGTCAGCCAGTTTGGTCTTGTTCATTGCAAATTAGTCTTTTTAGGCAGACATCATCGTCCCTCGCTCTAACAGTCCTCCCTTTCTGCCTTCAAACAACCCAAATCTACTCCTCCATCAAACCGCCAGGCCTCCCTTCTGTCTTCTGTGACTTCAGCAGTTCATCCGAGGCTATGAGAGGAGGATTCGGATCGAAGGCCACTCCATCATGCCCGTTCTGACGAGTCGAGAGGAGATCCGGGCTGGCAATGTTCAAGGTAGGCCGTGTTTTGAATTAAAGCTTTTCTTTCCTCGTCCTCTACTTGTTGCTTCACTGCTGTGGTCAGGTTCAGCTGAGACTTACTCAAATCACACATGTGGATAAATATGGCTGATGGTAAAGTTATCTAATAACAGGTACATTTAAAACACATTTATTTAGAGTGAAGCTTCTGCATCTGTTTTCCAGAACGGGGCCACGGAGGCTCGGTGGGCAGGTGTTGCCCTTTTACCGGATCGGCTCGGGGTTCGGCACCTTGCGACGACGTCACACCAGATGATTGGCTAAATGTACAACTTACGAAAAATTACGCTACCGCGTTCGTAAAAGTTACATTAGCACGTTGACAGGGAAGATTTTGATTGGTTCAAACAAATTTTCAGTTGTGATCCTGTAGTCCAAAAAACTTTTTTTGGGGAAAAATATGTTTAAATTGCCAAATAAATTTAAAATAAATATCAACTGATAAATGGAGACCCTCAGCAGCTCTGATTGGACGAAATAGGGCAACATTTTAAATAACTTTATTGAACAAATAACAAGTACACAACAGTTAGAATGAACAAATGGATTTATTTACGTAAGAACTAGCAAAAATATACAGAAGAATTCCACATTAATGCAAAGCGAAAGGGAAACCCTTTTAAATGAATACATTTAAAAACCGTAGTGCTTTTTGGCACAGTCTGATGATGGTTTTATGTATTTTCACATTCTTTACAAAACAAATTACAGAACACATTTAAGCAGTAAGAAACAAGAATGCATTAACTAAACTGCTAAACTCTCCAAAACTTATGTGTGACAAAACATTGTAAAGGAGTGGATTTGCCATTGTGTGACATCATCTGCCGGCGCAGGACCCCAAACCGATCTGGCCGCCCCAGCAGATTCAGTACCTACAGCGGTTTGAACCCAGACTCCATCCATGTCAGTTGTTATGTCCTTGGGCAAGACATTTACCCCTCCTTGTCTACTGGTGGTGGTCAGAGGGACCGCTGACGCCTGTGTTTGGTAGTCTCACCTCTGTCAGTGAGCCTAGGGCAGCTGTGGCTTCATTGTAGCTCATCACTATTGTGCATGAATGAGTGAATGGCTGACTGTTGTGTAAAGTGCTTTGGACTCAGAAAAAACACTGTAGAAGTGAGGGTCATTTATAATTTAGTTTATTTGACTAAAAGAGACAAAAGTGAACAAAAAAACTGGAAATAACACATAACTCTTTATAGACTAAGGTCACAAAGTCTGTGTCCAGATGGAGTTTTAGAAATGAAATGTAATTGTTTTGTTCTGAGGGCCGTTGACTTCTGTGTTTATCCTCCTGGCCAGAAGCTCCATCACGCATGAGAACTGCATGATGAGAACACCTCTGAACTATTGCAGGGTGGTTGGAGGAGTTCCTCTGGGAGGATGTTTAGGTACCATCCTTTATTCATGGCTGTTCTGCTGCCAAACTGTGAGTGAGTCCATTCCCTCGGCTAATCCTAACCCTAGAAATCCATTTTACACACAATTGTACATTATTCTGATAATTAAATAATTTAAGCAACAACAAAAAACAAAACAAAACAAAACAAACAAAAAAAAAACACGAGAAGCCACTCAGGAGCCAAATTAATTTGACTCATATTCAAGGCTGAGCCATAGGAACTGACTCCTTGCTGATTTGACCACTTTTCAAATGAATGCACTAATCACTTCTTTTCCACGAGTTTAGTTGCATTTGACATGATTTCTTGAGGCAGCCGTGTGTTTTGTTTCTCTTTGCCCAATAATACAAAATAGTCCTCATGATTTCAGGTCATGTGACTAATCAGTAGATGTAGAAATAATAGCTGTGATCAGGACAACAACAATGTGTTATTATTTCAGGATGTGTGATAAAAACAAAAGGCTCAAGGACTAGTTTAGCGATTTGTTGTGGGGTTTATGTTCCATGATCTATGCAGCAGGACTGCCCTGTTTATCCGACAACAATCACTTTATTATAATGGACTCTGAGACACATCAGCTTAAAGCAAACTAAAACCGAGTTCTGCAAAGTACAAAATGTTTACAATTAACTTTAATTTGATTTAAAAAAATGTGTCTGCAATAGCCAATCAGGAGAGGAAAGGGACAGAGATCTGTTTGTCGAGCAAAAACATAAAGTTTTATTTTATGCATGCTTTCTCCTGGTGTTTTGTGCTACAGCCTAGTGTTGAGATAAGGGATAACAAGTCACTTGCTTTAATAGGCCCATCAAAATGAAGAGTTGTAGTGCTCCGCAGGGAAAACCGGGTCTAGAACATCGTTTCCATGTAAAGCAGCACTGTGTGGACGCTGCAGTCCTTTTTTATCACTGAGCTTCTGCTCCTTTTGTCTGCTACTATTGAGACACTGATAAAAAGACACATTCAAACGTTGAAGGAGCATTTAAAAAAGAATAATGAGGCTTCGTCAAAGAGACGTTGTGACTAAAGAGAGGAGATCTCAGTAACATCATCCAGAAAGCGAGGCCTTTCTTGGTGTTCACTTTTACACCAAATGAAAATGTGTTTGAGATTTCCTTGTGAGCGTGGACAATTTTGAAACTGAAAATTAGCAAAATCTCTCATTCTGTCACTGTGTCCGGCTGCTGCCAACGGAGCAGCTCCGGGATTTGTCCCTCGGTGGCATCGCGGATTAGGTTTTGGGCCGGATTGTCTTTAGCCGCCGGGCAGAGACTAGTATGTTCGCACAAATCTAAACTGAGCTTTCATCAAATCACAAGACGTGACGTAACCATCTAATTCTGGTGCACGTCTTTGCCGAAGCGTGATTTAGAGGGAGGTGTGACAGCTGGCATTAAACCTCCTGCAGAAGACAGCAGGCGTTCTGTAGTCTCGTCACTCTTTAACATATGCAGCTCAGAAACCGCACGCTCGGAAGTTTAAAGATGCTGCAGCGGAGGAGAGTTTTTGAGTGAAAATGATGATTACAGGGAGGGAGTAAGGCGTCAAAGGTGTGGCAGAGAGAAAAAGAGACAGACACAGCCAGTGGATCCTGAGGGAGCTTCACTCACTTTGGATGAAGGAGTCAGCACTGTAAAGACACGTACCTCTGGCTGAATGGGCCTCTGAGGGGTGTGTTGTTGTTGTGGCGCTGCCTGCTGTTGCAGCGAGGTGGTGGGGTGGGGTGTGAGAGCTGACTCTTGACAGGCGGGAAGCTCGGCCCCGCTCTGATTGGCTGACCACAGACAGTCAGACAGCAGTGAAGGACAACGCAATGATGATGATGATGATGGTGGTGGATTCCAGTGACAGCCGGCTGAGTCTGTTTTGGATACGTGTGAACAGCTTTACAACTGTTGATTGAGTCGTTGGAGGATTGCAGGTGCTGAGCAGCCTGGTGCTTGTTGTTTACTCAGAGCCAGTCAGAGAGGGAGGCTGCAGAGGACGGAGTCACACACCCCTCACAAGGCTCTCTGCAGCCATGCTCTTGGGTTTGCTCTGGAGATGCATGACGCGGCGTGACAAAACAAAAGCATCTTCAGAGGAACTGAGGATTTCATGTGCCTGTTTGCTCAACAACTTAGTAAATTATATGTCAGTTGTAGGATATGATTCTTCACTATTTAATGTCACCATATTGTCCCCCTCTCTGGTGGTTGGTACAAACCAGTTCAGGACGTTTTGACCTTTAATCACAATAATTATTATAATTGGTATCATTGGTACTTAACACACTGAGATTCAACACAAAACAAACAAAGGATTGATTGTTTTATTATTATTATTATTACTATTATTTGAAACTTATAAAAACACCATGATTGCGAGCAGGTAGGCAGGAAACACACCCTCACAAGACTCCTCCGATGCACCTTGGCTGCCAGGGCCTGGCAGCACCCGATGCAGAGTCGACACCAAAATGACACTACTTCATCAACTACTTCAAATACTTGCTTGTTGATTTTTCATTTAACATTCAAATTAATTGCTACAAATATTTTTTTCTAAGATGCAACTGTGTTTAATCCCAACACAACAGCGCTGACCTCATGACTACAATGCAATGCGTAAATCATCGTGTTGTTTATATGAAACCAATGCTTACTTTCTGTTGTCTTATCATGATTGTTTCACTTTATTTTGCTGTAGCTCTGTGGGCCAGCGTTGCATTGATGAGACTAGGAGGATTGATGGAGGATTATCATGCCATTTCTCAAATTTACCGTCTGTGTTTTTACACAGCAGACCTGTTAGGCTTAACAAGGGATAAGTACCCAAAATAAACATTATCAACAAAATAAAAAACACAATGACTGAATCAGGAAAATGAAAGTGTATCCCCAGTGATCTGCTCTGCATATTTAAAGAGCAAGTTTACTAAGAAACGGGTATTTATTTGTTATTTTTTAAATATGATGAGTCACTCCGAGTTTAACATGAGAGCTGAATGTAAAACCAGTCTTCTACCCCTATTTCTGAGATAAGCTGAAAAAAGAAAATAGAGACTCTTAGAAAAGCCACTCAGATATACGTCACACTGTCACTTATTTGTGGACTCACCATTCTTAATGTTGTTTGTTTAGCGTCCAGGAAACAGCAGAGAACGTCTAGTAGAAGCTAACCGTTAGCATTAGTAACTCCACCACACAGCAGAACTCCTTCAGACTGGGGTTATTTGTTGAGATAAAACGTCAATGTTGCAGAGCAAACAGAGTCAGTGGTGGAGTCATGTTGCTGTTAGCCAATCAGTAGAGAGATGTCCAAATATCAGGAAATAATAATGAGTAAGACTCCAAATCCTGCCATTTTCTGCCCCTCTCTCCTCAACTCCTTGTTCCTGAAACAGGAGCGCCAGAGGTTTGTTCCCACAGACTCAAAAGGCATACATTTATACTAATTTTTAAAGAAAACAAGCAGGCTTGGTTGTTTATGACTTTAAATGTAGATTATAATACTCAGACACAATAAAATCTGGTTCAACGTTTAAAGAAATAACAGCTTCTGAAGTGACATCAGCATTTAAATG